TTTGTTTTTGGAAGTTCATACGAGTGATATTATATTGGGGAAGGTTTTTTAAGTCTTGTTTTTTTTTCTTTGCAGGCTACAACGAATTGCTAACGCCTCTGGCGAGGCGATCGGCTTTTGCGCTCCTTAAAATCAAATTTATCTTTTTTCTTATTTTTTTTAGATGCGATCGTTTTGCTATATTGTTATTCTGTTTATTTTTTCCGGTTTTTTCTCACTCTGATTATTTTTTATGTACTTTCAAGTACCATCAGGTAGAGTAAGAAGCGGTAATGCTGCTGCTATGTTTGTAAAACTGTTAGTTGTGTTTTTTCTTTACAAAGGGAATATAGACAGTAGAAAAGCATAGTTTACGAATCGCATTTATAGGCGTGGTGTGTGTGCTTGATTGTTGGGTGTTGTGGTGTCGGATGTTGGAACACTGATGTGTCAATATGCCGGACGTTGGATGCTGTCCGTGTGTTACATGTGTATGCGTATGCGTATGTGCGGGAGGCGTTAGTTTAAGTTCGATTGTTGACAGCCGATAGAATAACGATGTATTATGGCAAATCACCATCTACCACATTGTTTTTTTTACGCACATTTTACTGTTGAACGAGGTAATTGCATAATGCCTCATCTGTTTTAGAATGCTCTGTTAGTGAGAGCTGTTTATGGCGAAGGGATTTTTTTTTGGAACTGTTGTGACTCTGATTGTTATAGGAAGAGAAAGAATGAGACAGAACAAAAAAGTATGATTATGATTACGGTGATGACGGTAAAATGAAACGGTAGGTTGTAGGCGGGGAAGTATTTGGATGAAAGTGGTCAGGTACATTTGCGTCGTTCAGTTAAAGTTTCTTTTGGCTAAAAAACTTGCCGGATGAATATTATAACAAAAGTTTATTGGTAGGGGGTATGGGGGAAAAGGGGAGGGGAAGGGGAGTAAAAAGATGTCGGCAGAGAGAGGGAGAAGAGAACGGGTGTAAAAACAGTTTTTCCAGTGATCATGCTATTTGATTGCAGCACGAGCGCTGAAAATTTGAGCAACTTTCTCCAGGACCGGTCGGACGAGGGCCGGCCAGTGGCGTTAGTATTGCAGAACTATGCAATACTCTCAGTCGGTTGCCAATTATTCTGTCGTCTTTTCTGTCTAATAAACCTTTGGCTAATACTTCCCGTTCCGCAAACTTGTTTTTGGGCTTTTATGCTTTTCTATTAGAGAGAAAAAGAATGAAAAAAACATGTCTCTGATTTTTGTATCAGTATTTACGATTTTTTATTTCAAGGTTGCCATATTTTGTGTGTTTTGTTGTTGTCTTTTCCTGCTCTCGAAAAAGCAAAGAAGAAAGTGTTTTTTGAAACATTTAATATTGCTTTTGAGCGAGTAAGAGCTCTTTTAATTTTTTCACTCACTCAATCGAAGTAAAATTGGTGAGAATTAGAGCGTTGCTCGACAAAAAGAGGGAAAGGTGATTTTTTTCATTCTTCCATTTACTTGAAATTTCTAGGTTATGTAATTTTGGGAGGTTTTTTGTGTTCAGAAAGATGTGTAATTTCTGAGGTTGTATTTAAGTTGGTTATTACATTTATTATTATTATTATTTTTTTTTTTTCTTTTTATTTTTACTTTTATTTTTATTTCTACTTTTATTATTATTGTTTTTATTATATTAATTTTTTTGCTTTTGAAATGTATTTTTTCTGAAGATCGTTCTTGTTCTAGTATCTTCTGCACATGAACATTTTATGGTCACTAAAATTGTCTTCGCATTAATTGTTGAGCTCTTGTCTACAACGGCGCTTTGGAGCTGGCAAGGAAGGCGAATCACATTGGTGAAATTGAAAACGATTATTTGACAAATGACTAAACGTGGGCTGTTTTTTTTTTTTTTATTGCCCACCTCTCTGATTATGGTTAAGTTGCATACAGCTCTTAAAATCTGTGACTCTTTGTGGTGTTGATGAAAGTTCTATTTATTCAAGAGAAAGTTTTAGAAGAAATACTCTGTTGACAAAATCTGGTTGAAGTGTTACTAGGTTTTCTGCCTGCAGAGTTTGAAAAGGCAGGATCGAAGTGGTTGTTGTAGCACTAACATGTGTTATTTATTGATAAAAATCAATTTTTAATGGTTTAAGGGGTAGATTTGAGTCATGGTTCTAGGAAGTTTTTGGCGTCAAAAAAAGTGGTTACTTTCATGTCGCATATTCGGTTATTTCGGCTAGACATATCAGTAACTGGTTAGAGACTTGTCCTGATTCGAAGACCGATTGTTCAAAGGCTCTTTATAGCTGTGAAATTCAGTATTATCTTTTTTTAAAGTGTTCGACTTTGTGCAGAATAATAGGGGGAGGAGAACGTTAACCTTCTGGTATATATACATATATATATATTTTTTTTTTTTTTTTTTTTTTTT